AAACAGTCGTCGGGACACCGCGTATTGCTCACGTATAGACGAGACAGTGTGAGTCAAGCGTTTTCTTAGTGTGTGTCACACGTATTTTAGGACGGCATTTCTGTCCAGACGTCTTATAATGCTATTTCTCTCGTTCTTACGTTTGCGATAGAGGATGGAAGATCGCCGCGACTCCCACCACTATTCCCTCTCCAAGCGTCCGACGATCGTATACCGCTAGCTCCCTCCGCCACTCTGTGCTGCTCCTGGCTCACCTACACGCAGCAGTGTATGAGTGATGCGTTATCGTGTGCGAGTCACACGGATATTCGGACGGCATTAACGCCGGTGCGTGTATGTACATGTGCGCTCGTCTATTTTCTTCGCCGGGGTTAGGCGACAGTTTCCCGAAAAATGGAGGAGATAATGTTGGTATCAAGGAAAATCTCTACACGATATAATTTAAAGATCTGTTCTTTGTAACTGCACACTGCTGAACTAATGCAAAAGGTTAGAGTGAGAAAACGTATACTTGCCTCACTTCAATTTATTGCACCAGTTCAGTTACCAATTCAATTTATTGCACCAGTGTAGTTACAAAAAACAGATGTTTAAATTATATTGTGTAGAGATTTTCCTTGATACCAATATTATCCCCTCCACTTTTTGGGAAACTGTCGCCTAATTCTTCGCCGGTCGTGGCGAGCCGTATGTCCCGCTTGTCGCGTCGCGCGCTCTAATTTGTCCAACTATTTTTATTAATATCTCGAAATTTTACGTAGTTGTTTGAAAAATGGCCTCTACAATTTTTGTTCACTTTTATCTGTCCTACTTATATTTTTCTTATGCGGGACACCCTGTATATATGTTCTAAGACTGCGCCGCACGCACTGCATCTTAGATGTGGCAACGCTGTTTGCATCTTAGACGTAGCACGCTGACTCGCATGTCTGAACTTGAAATCGCGTCACGCAGCTGACGTACTGTAACGAGACATCCACTGCCATCTGGCGGCAGTCTCTGAACTACAAAATCTGCGTTATCGACTTTCGAAGTTCGCGATCCACTCCGACATCCTTTTAAATTTTAAGTGGGTAATACAAACCACTTTTTATCAAGTGAGGAATTGACGTACTATGCAAGGCAATGGACGATTATCCAAAAGATTTCTTCAGTTCAAGTTCGAATCTCACTAGAGAAAATTTTAAAAATTATGGAAAAGTAATATAGAAAAAATTTTTTTTCATTATATTTTGCGAGTATTTATGAGTATTTATGAGAAAGCGCTCATTTTATGAGTAATTATAAAAAATTATGAGAAAATTGTATATCAGAAATTTAATTGAAAAACCTACGAAATGATTTGCGCACAATCTGTCTACAATCTGCTGTTAGGTTAGTGCGCAGGACCTGCGCTGTTTTTGCCGACAATCTGCTCACACGGTCTGTCACGCAGGACCTGTCGACAAAACACGAGCCTGATGAAGACACAGAAGGCTATGGTTTTGATGTGGGAATCTGATCGAAATTGATGCCAATCTGCGCGCATTCTGCTAGCATTTTGCTTATTGGGGATATAATAGTTTTACTTACTTCAAAGATGAATCAATTCTTCATTTACAATAGTATAAAACAATCAAGAAAACATATCCCAAAGAACATTAAGATGTCTTAAAGATGTCTGAAAGACGCCTAAAAAATTTAGACGTCCTATTAATTTAACAACCCTTATAGAAAAGTATTACTAGTTGTGATAAATTGGCCAGTAATAAATAGTAATTTTACTACTCATACGAGTAGTAAAATTATTGAATGACAGTAATTATCACTGGCCAAATTATCACTTATCAGTATTAAATTTCTATAAGGGAAAAAGACGTCTTAAAGGCATTTTTAAGGCGTCTAATGTCCCGATTTTGGACATCTTATGGAACGCTACATCCGAAAGACGTCATATAAGACATTCAAGAGACATCCAAAAGACATTTTTTCCCGGGTATTTTAGTACAAATTTAGAAAAATTCAGTGCAAAATCATTATTAATCAAAATAGATTGAGGAAAGTATAATGAAATATTTTGTGTAAATAATAAAAAAAAAAACATTTATTCGTGAGATGTGGTGTGGTTTCTATCTCGTGTGAGGCGTCACCATCTTTAGATGACCATGCTGTTGCAATGTCTACCCTACTAAAAAAATTTCTGTTAAGATAACAATAAAATTTCTAATTCAGTTCTTAGTTGAATTCTTAATTGAATTTTCAAATGTAGTTTCCGCAAAAATTCGCATGTAAGATCTCAATTGAGATATTTGTATCTGATGGAAATAATTTATTGAAAATATAATGAACTTTTGCTGAAATGCTTTTAAAAAACATTCACAATTTTGACTCAATTTCATTAAAATTTCATTATAATTTTATTAATATTTCAATAATATTTCATTAAAAATGTAGAAAAATTCAGTGAAAAATCATTATTAATTAAAATAGATTGAGGAAAGAATAATGAAGTATTATTTTGTCTAAATAATAAAAAATACTGTAATTTCATATTTTGTGTTGTTTTATTTATTCGTAAGATTCGCGTGGATTCGATCCCGTGTCACACGGCACCCATCTTTAGATGACTATGCGCTGTTCAATACCTAACTTCAACGATCGTACGGGAACTGGTGATGGCAATGCACTGTAACGATATCGTGGTAGATTGTATTTACAATATACTCTTATAGCGTTTAAAAATGTAATGATATATTTGTCGGTAAATGTTTCAAAGGACGTAACAATGTAACGGCCTTGCGTTACGTGCGGGATAGTCTTAGCCGGTGTGGTCCGGGTTTCGTGTGTGAAATGAAAACCAGTGGTATAGGTGATAATAATGTGAAACTATATTCTACTTTCGAAGCTATTTACAATTATTTACAGGCGACGTTACGCCGTTGGTGCGTGGTCGCGTTTTTGCTCTCGTCGGGAGCCGTTGTTGTCGTCTCGCGATCAGCTGCGAGCGTCGAGGCGCGCGAGCGTCAGGCGGGACGCGGTCGGAATTGTTTCCGGATACACTATTGTTCGTCGTTCGGAGTTCGTTGCCTCATCGGCTTTAATCTGTTTATCTATCCTGGTCTTTCCTTGCTGGTTTAAAGGCGCTCGTTGTCGCCGTTATCTTATGCCCGGTATGCGTTCGCAATCGTAGATGTTAGCGGCGTAGCGTGAGGAGGAAAA